CCAACACACAGCAGAGACCACTGCTCCTGCTGCCTTTTCGCGCTCACTCAACTTATGGGCCTACCTGATCACATGTGCACCAATGGAAGCGAAATCTATCGCGCTGCTGACAGATCTGACACGTCTTGAGCACGCATCAACACTTCCATATCTAACCATGCCATGAGCGTGACCATTGGTACCAGCAGCACAATTCCCGCCGACTCATTACCTTCAGACCAACCCCGCCATCACTGCCGCTGTGCACACACATCACACATCGGCGTAGTTGGTCCGTTGCGAATCTACCGCACAGATACCGGTAAACCAGTGCCAGCATCACTAACATATATTCGCCTCACCCGCCTGGGCACTGTCCATGCACATTCACACACCGCATAGGCGTTGTAGGTCACATGTGTCTCCGTGAAAACCTGTGGTAGAAAATCATCGGCTACGCTACATTAACACATCTTACCAGCATCTACCTCACACAGGACCACGCCCAAAACCACACAACATGTGTTTGCTACCAGCACCTCTCTCACTTAAGTGACAAATATATGATCATCAGTTGCTCCTTCATGTGGCTCCCTTGCTGAACGTGCGATTCGACCACGAGATTACCACGGTGCAGTACGTAGTGTGGCTCGGAAGACTGCCACCTGAAACTACACTCAGAGCTCACAATTAGCCATATTTGTACTTTTGTAGTGCGGTTGGATGTAAGTCTGAGAGTCGGGTTGCAATGGGTCCTCCTTAACGTGATCACTGATACGCTCATATGGGATGTGTGGGTCACTCAAACTCCTTTTGTGTTTTGGGGGCAGGTCGTGTGCGTGCTATGCGCAGACGAGGTCATGAAATATAGCAACAGCTGCATCCATTCCGATTCTAGTCCAGGGGTCGGCTCGGATAGTAGTTGGGACCTAGTAATGGCAATCCAGCAAAGTCGACGGCTGAACATATTTTCCTCATCTTATACAATCTGACGCACCTGAAGCCCTTACATGGCTTACAGGGTTGCTAGCGGACGAGATACCTCGGACCGCCTGGTCTGTCCAGCGTGTGTTGCTGTGGAGTGGCTGACTAGCGGACCGACCGTAAGGCTTCAATGACTCCGTCTTTGTGTGGCTTTTATAGCATTCCCACTCCGTGAGATCTGAGCCAGGTGTGGCAGCCCGATAAGGGACGGCTTCGGCCGCCCCAATCACCTCTGTTCTCTCCCACCTCCGGTCTTCTTGACTCATTTATGGCACCTGGCCCGAGAGGGAGGGCCGGAGTGAGTACTGTAGATGAAGCACCAGTCTTCTCTCACAATAATATAATTTAAGCGCAACACATCGCGCTTGCTTCCAGCCTGCTGTGAAGCCCACGGTGGACCTCGTCGGATACGATAGTCGAACTGACGACCACTTACGTTTTCGGTA